TTTTTATATAGATACAGGGGGCCTTCCTACTTTTCTTAAAATTATATGGACAAGTGACATTTAAATAAATAAGTACTCACCATTAATAGTTCACTCAACACACACTGCATTTTTATCTGCGTAAAATTATGTACTGCATGTATTTCATACACTTGTTTACTGGTTCGTAACAAAGAAGTTCTTTGGTTCACAATGGCTGCCTTGCGTTTGCTAGCATCCCTACCAAAAAATATTTTAAACAAATAAATATTTGGTAAAAACTGATTTCTTTGTGTCAAAATGATATATTTTAATAATCTTATATTTAATATGATAAGTTGTTTACAACTTAATTTCATTTAAATTAATGGCAAAGTAACAACTAATTGACCAATATTGTCACAGAAAAATGTTCTTATTTCTAACCAATATGCGTAAGTTGTGGCAAATACATAATATAGAAACTAAGACCCATGTTTGTAATGACCAAACTATTTTATCGGCGACAATAATATAATCATTGAGTATTCTTTACTCAATTGAGTAAAGAATACTCAATGATTATATTATTGTCGTGCCGCCAATTTTAAATTAAGCGGCATGGCAGTGATGACGTTTTTATCTATTACGTCACAAGCGTGACCGTAAAAAATAAATTGCAGGCACTCTAACGTGCACCTAGTCACTTCGTTATAATTATAGCTTATAATTACATTAAATTTTATTACTAGTTTAGTTTGTTTTAATCAATGCGACCAACTTGACAACTGTATTTACCAACCACCCACACAGAACACGCTATCCAATGGATATCCAATGGCTATCCCAATGTCCATATAACATCCATGCCTTTTACGATATCCATTGGATATCCAATGGATATCCATACTAGATGTTCAAAAAAAAAACAAAAACATTAAAAATATTTTTTCTTTTTTAAAATAGCCCCTTATAGGATAAATTTATGTAATGATTAATAAATATGATTTAAATCGTTATTAACCCAATTTCAACAAAGTATCTCTAATATATATCCAATGGATAACTAATGTATGTCCAAAGTATATCCACTGTACATCTAATGTATATCCACTGGATATCCACTGGATATCCAATGGATATCCATACTGGATGTTAAAAAAAAAACAAAAACATTAAAAATATTTTTTTCTTTTTTAAAATAGCCCCTTATAGGATAAATTTATGTAATGATTAATAAATATGATTTAAATCGTTATTAACCCAATTTCAACAAAGTATCTCTAATATATATCCAATGGATAACTAATGTATGTCCAAAGTATATCCACTGTACATCTAATGTATATCCACTGGATATCCACTGGATATCCAATGGATATCCATACTGGATGTTAAAAAAAAAACAAAAACATTAAAAATATTTTTTTCTTTTTTAAAATAGCCCCTTATAGGATAAATTTATGTAATGATTAATAAATATGATTTAAATCGTTATTAACCCAATTTCAACAAAGTATCTCTAATATATATCCAATGGATAACTAATGTATGTCCAAAGTATATCCACTGTACATCTAATGTATATCCACTGGATATCCACTGGATATTCAATAGATATCCATACTGGATGTTCAAAAAAAAACAAAAACATTAAAAATATTTTTTTCTTTTTTAAAATAGCCCCTTATAGGATAAATTTATGTAATGATTAATAAATATGATTTAAATCGTTATTAACCCAATTTCAACAAAGTATCTCTAATATATATCCAATGGATAACTAATGTATGTCCAAAGTATATCCACTGTACATCTAATGTATATCCACTGGATATCCGGTGGATAACTGATATGGATATCTTGCAAGATACATGTATATATACTTGTATGTATACATGTGGGATTTTGTGATGGTTTAAACTAGCATATGTAAAAAAAACAACTTTACGGTAAATTGATTTTTTGCCAAGAGCTACGAAATTTTTAATTTTGAAATGTTCACTTTACCCAGATAATAATATTTATATATTAATAATATTATTTCTGTTAATAATATGACTATGACAGTCTGCAATACAATAAAAAATTACTTAAAAAAGTCCCTTTTGTTTATTATTGTATTTCATAGTACTACGCACGCGCTGAATTTGAGAATCTTCAGTGTTGCCGGTTATAAGCAAAATAACTAAACGAAATATATTTCCGTACTTTATTAAGTTTTAATAAATAAATTAAATAAATTTAAAATAATTATTCACCACATTTATGTCAAATAGGTATACTAGGTATACTAATTAATTAAGTATTAAAGATTTAATAATATAACCGCCATTTTGATGAGCTTTCTGAAATTATTTAAACGTCTGACAACACTGCCGCAGAAGATAAAGAAGCGTCCTTTTTCTATGGTAGCGTCCGTTAAATATGATGCCATGATTGTTAGGTACATGCAAAGGGTTTTCATGTTTATTTGCTTCATTCCACAGATTGTAAAGGTTCATTCGCCATCATTGCTATTTGTTATATGTTTGTCATAAAGTTTATTGCCAAGTTATTGTGTTTTGTGGTTATTTGTTTGAGGTCTATAGTGGTAAGTGAATATTTTATTAATTTTCTAATCATAGTTATCATTTTAAATTGTATTGGTCTAAAACTAATACAATTTTAAATTAAATAGGTATTTAAGTGCAATTTATAAACTTTCGGTTAGCATTGAAGGCAAAACATTAAAGGTGAATACATGCATGCATTTATATACCGTACCTTTATTTGCAAGCTATACATAGGCTCGAGGGTAACAAATGGGCTGATGGATTGGCCAAATTTTGGGGATCATAAGGGACAGGTGAAATAGGCCCTAAATGATTAGGCTGATAAAAAGGCAAATGACAGCTGGAGGAGTGATGGCAAGCCAGAGACTTCACTTCTTTAGTTATATGTAGTTTTCTGTTCTATTTTATGTTTTCATAAAAATAAATATTTAAATTAAAGAATAAGACTTTTATTTTAAAACCCAATGTTATTTATTGAAAAGTAAATATCCATTGATTCACCATATCCAATACAGATGACAACCATATTGCATACAATACTATATCCACTGGGTATCCATTGGATATCCACACTATGTCCAGGAGGGTCGGACATTTATATATCCAATGGTTATCCATTGGATATCCATACAATCTCCATATTGAATACAGATTACAACCATATTGCATACAATACTATATCCACTGGGTATCCATTGGATATCCACACTATGTCCAGGAGGGTCGGACATTTATATATCCAATGGTTATCCATTGGATATCCCGGATATCCTATGTATATCCTGGATATCCATAAAAGAAATCCATTGGATATCCATTGGATGTAATTGTTCCGTGTGGGCAAGACCCTAAATTTGCAACGTTGCCGCAGTTAACTCTGGTAACTAAAGTTATTTTTTTTTATCTGGACTGCGGCAACGTTGCTAATTTAGGGTTTTGTTTGTTAAAGACGGAACCAAAATTGGTTGCATTGATTAAAACAAACTAAACTAGTAATAAAATTTAATGTAATTATAATGTAATTGTGGTTATGTTTAAATTATTGTAAAATAAGTCAAGTTGAGTTGTCAAAATTCGTAGTTAAAAATGTAATTAATTTGGCTTTGGTGTGGCCCAGGAGAGACAAAGTATTCCTAGCGGATAATAATCTTCGCTTTGAAAAGAATTTATATAAAAGAAATTACACGTGAATGTTGTCCAATCATTGGACTCCATTGGTGAATGGATATTTTGTTAAAGCCACTGGACGTTAATACTTGTAGTGGCTTAATAATAATTATAATGTATTTATTGTCCAGGAATATTAATGATCAGTAACTAGCAAATAGAAAGAAGAAAAAGTTTCGCGATGCTATTTTCAAAGACAGGAAAATTAACTACTAGATTTTACACAAAAGGTTGATTAAAAAGCAAATAATTTTTATTTACAAATCGTTATTTTTTCATTGATTTCATTACTTAATCAATTTGTGAATATTTAGGCATTTTCTTTTTTAATACTTACTGTGGTAGATTTCTTTACTCAAAAAAATTAAAATCGTTCGCCGAAAAGCCGAATAGTCAACAATCGGCAGTAAAGTAAAAGTAGAACTTTACTGCCGATTTAATACGAGTATTGTATGCAACCAATTATGCATTTTAAGATGAGTCTACTGCTCCTCAGCAGCAACTAAATAATATTTAAAAAAAAGCACCGTCGCGGAGGTCGATTGGACCCTTTCATAAAATGTTGTTTAATAAAAATAATAAGTTAATTTTATTAATTAGATTAACGAGTCGCCGCAGCGGGCAAATATATATAATAACCGTCGCAACAAACAATATATGTACGTAGACACTTCCTACATTCAAATGACATTTGATTTGATCATCAATATTAATTATATAAGTATTATTAAATGTGATTTCGAAAAAAATTTAATATGCACCTCGGCATTAAGTCATTTTTTATCATTCACGTGGTTATTTATGGTAAATAATTTCCACATTCGTAATAAAAAATACGACTTAACTGCCTTGATACATTATTAACTATTATTTTTAAGAAAATATTAAATATTACTGTCAATTTGTCAGTGTCAGAGAATTTATAAATTATAATAATAACCTTATACGACCTAACTGCCTTGATACATTATTAACTATTATTTTTAAGAAAATATTAAATATTACTGTCAATTTGACAGTGTCAGAGTATTTATAAATTATAATAATAACCTTATAAGGTCTAAACACAAGTACCTACCATTTTTTAAATACTAAAAATACAAAATCAAACTGGCAAAAGCTTAGCTAGCTACCAACACGAGTCCAAATTAAAAAACGAACTTTATATGAAAGAATAAATTGACACAACTGTCATAATATATCAACCATAGCTGCCTTATTTAAATGTTTTCCAAAACAACCACTAGATGTGGAATATAAATAATTTTAGCTTAACTGTTTTTTATTAATTACAAAAAAACAATTGATTTTTATGCTAACCTGCTCCTGAAGCTCCATATGTCATCAAAGTGCTATTCTTTCCATCAATAAATCTCAGGAGCTTGGGTTTCACAATATCATCAAAAACATCTTTTTGCGTGGCACCAGCCCCAAATATTTTGCTGAATTCAAATTTTTTGGATACTCTGTTCCCTTCTTTGATGTTACTTGACCCGCTAGGGCCATGCGGTATTGTGCAGGTTAAGGTTTTATCATTAATACTGTACAAATTGTTAAAATCCACATTTGCTTTGATTCGAAGGAAAACTTTAAGTTTCTCATCATCCTATTATTAAAATTAGATTTTATATCTGACATACTATAATAAATTATTATAATACTACACGTTAAAATTAAAAAAACTAACATAAAAACGACGTACAAAAAAAATTACCTTTGGTTCCGACACTGACAAGTTTGTTTTAACTCCATTTAGACATTGACAAGACATAGTTATAATTTATAAATTAAAATCAAAACGTTAAAAACTACACAGTTGACAAACAATTTAACTGTTCAACATTTAAAACACAAATGACGCCAACTTTCAAATCAAATTTAAATTATTGAAGCGAAGTTAGCGGCGCAGCGATTGGCAAGGCCGCCAACAAAATATGCATTATAAAAACAAACATTTAAAAAGAATAGGAGTTATGAATATAGGCAACTCAGTTTACGTGTTTAAAATTGTAACATTTGGCAATATACTGTGTGTTCCGTAAAAGTCGTCGTTTAAGTTTGAATTTCATCTTTTATTTATTTATGGAACACCCTGTAGAAATGGAAAATATAACAGATTTTAGAAAACCTGAAAAGTCTGAGGAATTATTGTTAATTTATCGATTTGTCGTTGGTTTATTTTTTGGCGTAACAACAATGCCCCAATCATGTAGCCTAGGCCCCAACAATAATGTATAGGTAATTTATTTTCAATATAATGTTTTAAAAAGTATGAAAAAATATTTTTTTCAGTAAAAAAAAGATAGGTTCCACCGAGATTTGAACTCGGATCGCTGGATTCAAAGTCCAGAGTGCTAACCATTACACCATGGAACCTTCGATATTAATTTTAAGTTTTTGATGCTACCGAACATTTTTATATTTTTTTATTTAAAGAAAATATTAATAGTTTTGCGTTTAGAAAATAGTTTCTTAGATAATGGTTTTATAAAATCAGTAAAATACATTTTTATATTTTTTTCTTATGAATATATACATAAGTATAGGTATATATATATATATATATGTATACATATAACGTTTTGGAAAAAAATTCTAAAATTCCTTAGTTAAACGTACTTTTAAGCATAAACTGCTTATTTAAGTTAACAATTGATTTTGGATTAGCACCCCACACTTTGATTAAATTAGAACCCTGTGGAACACCTGCCGTAAGTGACGGTTTGACCTTAAAGTAAGCATAGTTATAGATTGCAAACTATAAATTGGCCTACCTACTACCTACTTGCAAAAAAAATTAGGTAATAATAACAGTTTAGTAAACAGAATTTACGAAAAAATAACTTTTGTTTCATTCAAATTTTTATATCAGTATCTACATTTTTGTTCTTGCCCAAAATTAAAGTGATCTTGCTCCATGTTTTATATATACCTACCTACCTTGGTTGCTTAGGCTAGGTATATCAAACGTTTTTGGTAATAATTAATTCTTAAAATCCTTAAAAATTAAAATTAATTTTAGAGATTTTTAATAATTATTAAATATATCCAATTTTATAAAATGAATACATTTAGTTACCTATTAAACCTATACCCACAATCTATATGGATTGTGGTTTATATATCTACATAGTATACTATTAGTACTATCTGTATATTCTTAGTCTAAGGTTTTGCCGCTCGCTGCAAATAGCGTGCCGGCGTTGAATTTGGATAGCAGCGCTACGCGTCGCTTTTGTTTCTCAGACTTTTGAAGAAACATTCGAGCATCAGTCGGCCTACGACCGCCGGGTGTAGTGGGGTAAAGGTGCGCGTACAAAAAGACGTCGGTCGTGTAAAACGACACGAAAATAAAACCATTGAAATACGAACGAACGCGTTAAAAAATAAAACGAGAAAAATCGTAGAGGAGTGACCATGATGGACCAATACAATGGGGAGCAATACCCCGATGGATACATGGAGCAAGAGGAGGAATGGGAACGGGAAGGCCTTCTGGATCCTGCCTGGGAAAAACAACAGAAAAAGGTACCTAAACCCCATTAAGCAATCCCCAAACACCCTTACACTTTCAAATCATAGTAGGTATTTGTTGTAAACATTTGACATTCCGTACCGTGAAACATAACCTCAATTAGTTCGGGCCTACACACCAACACAAGTTATTAATAACATACATATTAAAACTTAGTCCCTAGCGTAACATTATACTAAACACTATTTTTGTATCACTTCTGGCAAACGATCTCGCCGTTACTGTGATGTAATTCGAAAAATACTCAAATCCCACCAAAATACCACACTATTTACCTATTTTTATAGTAACTTTAAAACCCCTGTTATAATAATTATTGAAATGTTATGCGTAGGCAATTAATTAACAAGTAGGCTTTTATGCATTTTTTGTATCAACCAATCAAAACAAAGAATACCTAACGCCTTATATGACGTTTCTTAACGAAATACATTTATTGGATTGGATTAGTCAGGGCCTGTGTGATTTATAAAACATAAACATTTCCTTATTGATAATTTCATATGAAGCGCCGTTTGGGCCAAAATAGAATTGTATGTAATATATATATTTTTCTGAAAAATGCGTGATATATAAAAAATGTTACTCACGATATATAAAATATTCAGCGCCGTTTGGGCCAAAATATAATTTTATGTAATATATAAAACAATTTGCCCTTGCTATATGAAATATTCAGCGCCCTTTGTGATATATAACATAATCTTAAAAAATGCGTGATATATAAAATGTTTTCACTCGATATATAAAATGTTTTCTCTCGATATATAAAATTCAGCTTACAAGAAACGTCGTGTTATAATGAGGGCGCTTCAATGAATAGTTCATTGGCGTACATTTTTTGTGTTTTCACAATTTTATTGTTTATAATACTGTTTAGTTTTGGTGTTTCTTTTGTATTTAGAGTTTTAAACCCGTTTTTATTGTTATTTCAATAAGTTGAAAAAAACAGTTCTTATAGGAATTCAACTAACATAACCTAAAATTCAGGCAAAGTGTTAAATTTGCAATCGAAGGAAATGGTTGCTTCATAAATACACTATTGAAATAACAATAAAAACGGGTTTAAAACTCTAAATACAAAAGAAACACCGAAACTAAACAGTATTATAAACAATAAAATTGTGAAAACACAAAAAATGCAAGTACGCCAATGAACTATTATTGAAGCGCCCTCAATATAACACGACGTTTCTTGTAAGCTGAATTTTATATATCGAGAGAAAACATTCTATATATCGAGTAAAAACATTTTATATATCAGGCATTTTTTAAGATTATGTTATCACAAAGGGCGCTGAATATTTTATATAGCAAGGGCAAATTGTTTTATATATTACATAAAATTCTATTTTGGCCCAAACGGCGCTGAATATTTTATATATCGTGAGTAAAATTTTTTATATATCACGCATTTTTCAGAAAAATATATATATTACATACAATTCTATTTTGGCCCAAACGGCGCTTCATAATTTCAACACAGAAATTCCATAAAATTCCTTCAGAACACACGTAGTAGAGTATGTAGTGCTATTTTTAAACACATCAGTGGCGTCACAGGGAATAATTTGGCCGATACTATACAAGCAGTATATGAATGAATTGGAAATTGATTGAAAAATCTACAGGTATATTTTAATGCCATTGACACTTAAATAGCCTTCAAGTGGGTTGATTGCCAATAAAGATTAAAACATAATAATAACGCGACATAAGTTCAAAAGATTTTCAGGAGTTAACGATTTGTTAATTTAAGTCAACTTTGATTTCAGTGAAAACACTTACAAATCAATGATAAAACCTAAACCAAATACTTTCATTTAGTAGATATGATATTTTTAAGTACTTAGGTAATAGGAAAAACATACGTACACTTTCAATTTATTTATTTTGTAATATTGACTGCAAACAGGTAGCAGTTAGGTATATTTTATTTCTATGGATTTAAAATAAGGCAAAAATTGTTGAATAGGAATTAAAACTTGGTTATATTGACCTTGACTTAAAAACAAAAGATAGTGCCATTTTTAATAGTGACTTGTCTCTTGATTTTTAACTAAAAGGAAAATGGATTTTTTCGATATTTCAACTAAAAATTAAAGGATTTTGATGGAATTTTCAGAGTATTAAGAAAAAAACGATTTATTATTTAAATATTATAATAAACATTTGAGACATTCGGGAACAAATATTCTCAGTAAAAAGCGACGGATATCTAGATTTTAAGTAAAAAAATAAAGAAAATAGTATTATAAATTAAATAAATTAAAATTTTTAGGCTATAGACAAACAAAATTTAACCAAATATAATTAAAAATTGTGGCAATATTCTCGATCAAAAGTTGACAACCTAAAAAAACAAGAGATAGTGCCATTTTAAAATGGCAATCCTGGGTATCTAGATAAAAGTTAAAAAATAGAAAAAAGGGTATTTAGGCCTAAAATCAAAGGAATTAAATATTTTTGGGATGTTAAAACAACAAATTAAGTTATTTTGAAATACTTGTAGGGTCTTTTTGAAAAATTTTGTGCACACCACTGCAGCTTAGGCGTACGGGCATAAACAACAAATGGCTGGACACATGTGACCGCAGCAGCTGCGGCTAGCAATGTGTGGAGCGAGACGACGCTTGGCGTCGAATTTCGACGCCACGTTACCAAAAATGGACCCGCACACTATGACCGCGCAAGCTAAACCGTAAACATCGACAGTGTTTTGTTACTACAATCACGGAATGACCCATTTAATTTCAGCGATTTTTATTGCATGTAATTTAAAAATTGGCAATGTTTAATTAGTACCTATAAGTACCCAATATTATAAAATTTATGGGATGTCAAAGTATTTCCAGAAAATGTAAAATAGTTTAAAATTTAATTTTAAAGAAATTTTACCACTGAAATACTTTTATCAGCTATATTACATTTTTCCAGCATTTTCGGACATCTGTCGTATTTATTTTTAACGTGGAGCGTGAACGTAAATATTTGATTTTCGTCGCCCGTGGGGTTATGACAACATTATCCTATAAAATTAGAATGTACGGGATCGAAATAAAATTTAAAAATAGGACGAACATTACAATTTTGTTGTTTAACGTGTGTTAAGGATAATTGGCAACATGGTAAGATGTGTCAAAAACAATTGATGGGCGAGATCACACAATTTTGATTATTTTAAATTGTTAGAATATTTTTGAAGAACTGTCAAAATATTTAAAACAGAAATACCAACTTTACTTTACATTTCATGTCATTTCCATAAAAAATAACCTTACATAAAGTTAACTGTCAATTGCAAAATAAAGAATAACAAACTCTTTATAACCCTGTTTGCAATGTTGCCACATATAATGCAAATCATGGCCTTACCTGTTTTTATGACATTTTATGTATTTGGCCGCATTGATTACATTAAATTGTTGAAATATTTTTTAATGAACTGTCAAAATGTTTAAAACAGACAATTGACTGACATTTCATGACATTTCCTTAAAAAATAACCTTTCATAAAGTTAACTGTCAATTTCAAAATAGAGAAAAACAGACTATAAACTTTGTATAACCCTGTTTGCAATGTTGCCATATATCATGCAAATAATAGCCTTACCTGTTTTTATGACATTGTATAGAAAGTAGGCGCGATTTTTTTTCATTAGTGTTTGACATTGAAATTCAAGTTTTACAAAATAAATGGATCAATAGGTACCTAATTGAATTAAATGACTAATAGGATGACAATTTCAAAGAGATTGGAAAATTATATAAACGTCGGTTTTTTTAACGCTTTCATTAAATGTATTCATGTTTATATTGCAAAGAAAAAAATGAGGATAATCAAAAAAATTTAAATTTTGATATCGAATACCACATTCAAGGTCATCCTTTATATAGAAAACGCATAATTTTGTATTAAAATATGCGATACAAGAATTAAAAAACATTAAAAAATCGTTAGTATTGGGGAGACTTGTTTTTAAATGTTTAAATATTTAAATATTATGTAAATTATAGAAAGCAGTCATTATTAAATTGTAGGTTTATTTTGGTGGATTAAATCTGGTGCACGCCAACTACAAAAAAACAGTTAACAGATAGATACGATTTGTTATTTTTTCTTTGCGGGAGACAACTACGTATATTTTTATTTTTAACCTATTTAACCCATATATTTCAACAAAAATATCAAATTTTATTGCACTACTTAGTTTTCAGATTCTGTACAGGGTATATCCAAAAATCTCATTTTTTGTGCACTATTTTCAACATTTAACGATTTTATTTTTGTATTTGTATTTATATTTTAAACTGAACACTTTTTCGATTAAAAAAACAAAAGACGTCGTACTACGTCGTCTTTTGAAGCTTGTGTTACATGCAAATACATATTTTTCTGATTGTGCAGGAAAAATAAAAAAATTGACACTTTTTTGACAAAAAGTTGTCGATAAGAGTAACATACCAAAATTTGAAAGTTCTGAATGGAGTAATTACAAAAAAACACTGTTTAAATGTAAATCTTATGTTGCTATTTCCTACAAATCCTATAGGTATGTATACATAGAGTCTCAAAAATAAGTTGGCTAATTGTAGTTTCAAAATACCATTTTAATGATGTGTCACATGACAGTTCTTCGCAGTGAAAGTGAAGAGAATGTTTTATGGGCACTTCACGGTGAAGTCTTCATCCGAAATTTTATATGCTTTCAGTTAAATCTACATAGTTTACTGTCGGCAAAATCAAAAGAACAGTACAAACTTTCATATAAACTTTTTATTTTTGTATTAAGATAATAAAATAACTTCTTCATTATTATTTCACAACAAGGGCACTTTATTTTAACGATTGTATGACATTTGGCAACTGTCAACTAACTTCCGTGACTAAAAACCTGTTGCTAACTTCAGCCCGTGACTAAAACGCCATAAAGCCACAACTTATCGATGTGTTTTTAAAAGATCACTTGGTGTCATGGAAACATGTGTGTTT